GTGCTGAAGGATGCCTGCAAGTGTTCAGCACAGGAGGCCGAACGAATTGAAATTACTTACTCAACAAGGGATTCTAATCGAGTGTACGCAGTGTCCTCAGGGCTGATTATAACACACCCGGCGCGAGCAACTTCTCCGAGGATGCGGCAAATCCACTTCAGGATATCTGGATCATCAAATTCGAGCAGCGCAGCTAGCTCGTGTACATTGGGCTGTGTCGCGAGATCCCGGGCGCCGGTCCCCCAGATGCTGATGCAGCTCAGCGCATAGATGGATTGTTTCAGAGGTACGCCATTGGAGTGGCTGAACGGAGAGTATCAGCGCGCGAGTCAATGATGCAAGGGTCGAAACTCACATTGCCAGGGGAATAAGGTGGCTGCAAGTGTTCAGAAGAGTGACCTCGGCGTTTACCGATTTCCACATCACAAGGCTTCCCAAGAGAGAGCAGACCGCCTCTACGATTGTGATCTCGGGAGAATGGAGCAAACGGATGAGGGTAGCGAGGGGATATTCCTGCGCCATTGTTTTTGCTTGTGCTTCCCACTTGGTCCGGGCCTCGAGATCCTCCAGAATCTCTAGTTTAGTGGAAGTTGGGATCTCCTTGGCTCTGAGTTCTGATCAGTCAATGCAGATAGTGGATACGACGAACTAACTCGAGATAGCACGCAAGAGCCTCCACATTTTCTTTCGATATCGGCTGGCCGCGCCCCTGGAGATAATCCCCGAGAGCTGTCGGCGGTGTAAGAACTTAGAAAGAGGCTTGGCGACTGTGTGGAGAGGAATGGTGGGGCTTGGGGGGTTATTACTATCGGACCACCAGCTATGGAGGCTTTCCGGGCGGGGAGGGGGGGGGGGCATTGAGGAGGAGTGCGTATAGCCTTGGTGGGACGAATGATGTGCACAGGCCCCCGACATCTTTTGTAGGCGCCGATTGGACGCCTGTGTCCAAATAGACCCCCGTCATCAGATCATTTCCAGAGTGTTCATCGGCGAATGATGACCGAGCGAGAAGCAGCGCAAAGTGCATCACTGTCCAGATCAGACACTGCCAGTGCGAAAATCCGAATGGCCGAGTTTCGGCATGTGCTTCACTTGCATAGCCATTTCTCATTTCAGGCTTTTCAGCGGTGACTTCAGCAAAGTGGAAGCAGACTGATCTCAATGCTATTTCCAGAATTGCTTGGGGTGGGTCAACTGTACAATCCGGGTAGCTACATTAAAGCCAGAGCAGGAGAATACGCAGAGCTGCGCCGAGCCGATGAGACAGGAGTGACGCAGAGCTGGAACAGCCTATAAGTGGAACAAACGAGAGCATCCGTGGGCATAGATGGAGAGCAAGGGCACGGACCAGAGGCGAGTGAAGGGCGAGAGCGAAGTGGACAACAGGAGAGCAGTGTATGTGGCGCAGTGGAAGAGGGAACTTGAAGAGGCGCACGACGTAGAGCGTGCAGGTGATTGATACTAGGCGGGAGAATCGACTCCGACGAGATCCAGCGTACTATGGGCTATCACCTGCGTCGCCTCGCCGGACGAAAGTAAAGTATGCCTCATAAGCATCGCATCAATTAGCTCCGAATGCCCATGATCGCATTAGGTGGGACCGAAGTCTACCGAAGTTGGCGCAGACCGAGGCATTCTGCCAATGTTGTGTTTAGCGACATTTTCAAGCTCTTCCTCGAGTCGTGCTAGCGCCAGCGTTGAAGGGTCCCGAGCCCACTGAGAATTTATGAGAAGGCCTAGAATCAGAGGTTCTTGTCCGTCAAACTGTGTTCTTTCGTTCGTTCGCTACTGCATCCCCGAGTGAGCCGAGCCGTGAACTTCCGAGTAAAGCTGAGGTCTGCCGAGAAGGTGACGGTGAGAAAGAGCAAGCGGGGAAGTGTGCCGGCGCCGCTGTTTGTTGATCGGCAGGCAGGTAAGCACACAGCGCACTGTTCGCTTCATTTTCACAGTGCGACCCGACTACGGATCACGACGGCAATGATTGCAGCGAGGCATTAAATTATTTCGGATTTCCGGGTGGGAAGACAAGAAAAAGTTTGTCAATTACGACAGGACCTCATTATCGGGACGCGGGGAGGAACCCCGGCGGGAGGAAGGCGGGGAGAGCCGGAGAAGGAAGGACGGATAGCCGGGAGGAGGAGCCGGATGGCGTGAGGGACGGGCAATGTGAGGAGGCGTGTCGAGCGAATGGAGACGGAAGGGAGAAGGAGGTCGAGGTGCGGAGACACGGGGAAGGGAAAGAGGGCGGGCGGCGGACGAAGCGCGGAAGTGGAGAAATGGAGAAGATGCACGGGACAGGATGGAGGGAGGAAGCGAAGGCCGACGAGAGAAAGTAGGGGTTTGTGGAGAAGAAGCGGTGAGGAGGAGCGGAGGGTGTGGAGAGTGTGAGGGCAGGCCAGACGGATGAGTCGAGGGAGGGCGAAGGGAAGAGGGTTAGGTAGTGGGGCTGCGAGAAGAGATGGAGGAGGATATCAATAACGGAAGGAAGGACGTGAGGCGCAGTGTAGAAGCACGCGAGGGAGGAATGGGAGGCGCGAGGAACGGGCAGCAAGTGGCAAGAAAAGAACGCGCAGCACGGAGGGCGGGGGATGGGGGACGAGGATGGATGGGTGGGAAGGGAGGGAGGACGGGCACGAGTGCCGGGGAGACGGCGAGGAAGCAGGGGGCGCACTGGGAGGAGAATGGATCGAGACGCAGCAAGGACACCAGAGATTCAGAGGCGCGGCAGGGGGGAGCATAAGCCCGGGATAGAGTTCGACGAATGAACTGAAAGCCGAAGGGAATGATAGAATGTGGTGCGACGAAGGACAGGGTGGCATGAGAGGCGGATCGGGAAGGGCATCGGGAGGAGGGAGGAAGGAGGCGTAAGGAAGCGCCAACACGACGACCGAAGCCGCAGGGCTCGATGGGGCACGGGAGCGAACATAAGAACAAGACGTACGCTGCCACCGAGTCGGACGGTGATACGACTCGGAGACGGCGTCTTTCAAGTTTCCGTTTCCCAGCTCGAGACGAAGCCGTTTGCAGAATTAGTGCTCGAGGTGGCTACAATTCCAGGGGGAGGGCGTCAAGCTTTCTGTTGATACCGTCCCTGAGTCGCAGACGTCGGAGTGCGATTGAAGATCGAAGTTCTGCCGAAGTGACGGTGAGAAAGATCCTCAGCCGAGGGATGTACCCTCATTTGTTGATCGGCGGGCAGCCAAACAGGCGCAACGTTCGCTTCCTCTTTCAAACACGGGTGACCGGTCAAGCACACTCTCACCTCCTCAAAAAAAAAAAACGGAATACATTGACATGAATTAACTCGGTGGGACTGGGTGGGAAGACAAGACAAGACAATCAAAATGGGGACGCGGGGAGTCGAACCCGACCTGCTGCATATACGCACTCCTGGGTTAGTAAATGCAGCGGTGCACCGTACACCACATCCCTCTTCCTCCCTCCAATTTCAACCTCGTTACTTCCATTCTTTCTGCCAGTGGCGCCCTGCAACCAATGTCTTTGGCACATAAAAAAAATCGTTCACGGGGGTGTGCAACTCAAGCCTGCGTTGCTCGCGCAAGTGCCCTCCATCTTCAACTCCGCGTGATGACGGACGACAAGAAGAAAAGGAAAAGGAAAAGGAAAAGAAACTAACCACATCTTGAATGTGGGATGCGGGGAGTCGAACCCCGGTCTGCTGCATAGCCAGTTTCATGCGGGATAACTAATGCAGCGGTGCGCCGTAGACCACATCCTTCTTCCCCTCCCAAATTCAGCCTGGATATATCACATAGAATTCGAATCGACGGCCAAGCCTAAATGAACTTGGCCTAAAAAAAAAAACCATGTAATCACACACAGAAGTGGGACGCGGAGTCGAACCCCGACTGCTCTATCTATAAACCATCAAATAAAATGGTCGGTTCCCAAACGCTCGTCATCCACACCGAGAAATTGGAGGATTTTGAATCACCCTCCAAGCATCGAAGAATCCGTTAAAACACCGAGCGAAGAAAAATGGACAAGGGCCTTGGAATGGGGGATGCAGAGAGTCGAACCCCGGCCTACTGCACAATGCCCTACGATACCACTTAATCATTTAATACAGCGGTGCACCGTACACCACGTCGCCTCCCTTAGCTCAATTTCGCCCTGAATATATCGCGTAGAATTTCAACCGAGCGCTATGCCTCGCGAATGAAAACCAAAAAAGATGTACGGAGATGGGCAGTATGAGGACGCGGGGAGTCGAACCCTGGCCTGCTGCATAGCTCATCATCGCTGTGTGCAGTAAGTGTGGTCCAGCGTACACCACGTCCCCTTCCTCTCCATTTTCAACTTGGATATACGCTCGATCTCGAGTAGCGGGCTTACGTGAAGAGGGAGAGGTAACTCCCCCGCTCCAATTTGTACTCCTCAGTCCACGGATGACAACGGACCCAATTTGAAACATTTGAACAAAGGGCAATGGCAACACTGAGTTGGGAAAAAAGTCGTTTCTCCGATTCACCAAAGTGGCACGCGGAGACCCCCGGCCTGCTGCAGGAGTATCGAGCGACAGGATGCAACGGTGCGCCGTACACCACGTCCCTCTTCCTCCCTCCAATTTCAACCTTGATATGTGCTTGCTTTCTAGACACTTCCTCCCACCAACACCGTGTGTTCATTCGCTCAGCATGCAACTTAAGCCTACCCTCCAAGTACTGTGTCGAGAGATTCCAAAAGAACTGAAAAAAGAGCGCGGAATCCCCTGATGTAGAACGCGGGAGAGTCGAACCCCGGCTCACTGCATAATGGTGGATCTGCGGGAGGGGGATCAACGAATGCAGCCGCGGACCGTACACCACGCCCCCTTCCTCATCGCAATTGGGATCTGACTGTATAGAACCCTTTTGTGCGCCCACTCCGGGGCACTTAGCTCATTTGATTTTTCCCGCCTGCTAAATATTTCATCCAGAAAAATCGAACCGTGGAACTTGATCCAACGACGTAACAAAAAGCAACACACAACGAAGGCAATGGGACACGGGGATTCGAACCCCGGCCTGCTGCATCATATTCCTGACAGCCCCTGCAATGAATGCAGCTGTGCACCATACACCACACCCCATTCCTTTCCTCGAGTTGCGGCCGGATTACAGGAGTACATCGACTCCTTTTATTAATATTGAATACAGTATTCTTCGGATCCAGTGAGCTCACCCAACAGCCGACCCGTGGGAACCTGTTCGGGCCGGATTGATGCCCACAAACTTGACGGTCAAAAAGCTGCTAAACACAGTCGAAGTCCTGCGAGCTTAAAAGCCTGGAGAAGACGCTTGATACCCTGATTTTTCTCTGGAAGTAGTATATTTACTCACACCAGCGCCCCTTGAACACACGGCTCACGCCATTTCTCAATGTTCAAAATCACTTATGCGCGGTTGTGTGCGGTAGGCTCAATGGAGATTGAAAAGTCGCGGCCTCGAGCAATCTCTCTCGGGATGGAGCAATCTCTCTCGGCAAATGACATCGTCAGATCCGAGGAGAAGGGCAGCGAGCTCCCGAATATTTTGTGACCAGTGATATATAGTGGCCGAAATACAAACAGCGGTATGTCCGTTGACAAGCAAGCGACAGTCTTTGGGCCAAGGGATCCAATTCACTACCAAATTATCAGCGCTGCGAAGGTGCTCCCGTGACAGGATAATCGGGCGGCGTCTCCCCCTCATCCCACTGCCGATTTCGTAGTCGCCTGTTCAACAATTCAACCAGTGCTTCCGTGGGAAGCGTAGAATCGGGGTGGCGGTCAACCTCTGGGCCGGGAGGGGGTGAGGATGAGTTCATTGCGCTTGATCCAGCTCCAGTGATGGCCCCCGACTGGATACCGGAGGAGGTGGCCGGAGGATGTCGGTCTAGGCCGCGCTTTTCGAGCCGTGAATTATCGGGCGAGGAGACATGGAGGGAATTGATCGTGGACGTCATGAATGGTTCAACACTGTTTGGTGACGCAGTCTCGGGTGCGCGAGAACGATGGCGACGCAGAAGCCACAGACCAAATGCGGCTATGACCGCAACTCCTCCAAGGACCCCGCCAAGAATGGCTCCAACCTTGGGTCGCTTCTTGGAAGGATTTGGAGATGGAAAAGGGCTTGACGCAGCAGTCCCTGATGGAGCCGTGCTGGAGGACGAAGAGGGGGCCACAGAGTCACTGACGCTCAGTGCACTGATCAACGCAGCCAGCGCCATGGTTTGATTGAACCCTGAAAACCCTGCACTCAGCGGGCCTGTCCAAGCGCCTCCGTAAATATTGCTCCCGGGTGTGGTAGCAAGGTCAATAACAGCGTTGAACTGGGAGAGCTTTGATCAGACGAGACCCTGAATTTTTTAAGCATCCTACCTGGACCGCGATATAAGCCCCGATATATTGACGCAACGCAGGAGTGATAAAGTTGCGTGTATATGCCGCCCCCAAACCCTGCAATAAGTTCATATCTCCCGTTCTGTCTGTAGTTTGTTCCATAAGAGAGAGATAAATGCTTCATTTGAGACAGCAATCACCTGGGCCTACGATGACTCCATCTGCCCTTTGCCACGAAGGATATGGGATTACCGCTACCAGAAGATCATTAAGACTATAGCCAACGTTGGTCAGAACATAGACAATAAAGAAGAAATTAGCAGGAACTCGCAGCGTCTGCGTCGAGGAATTGTTTGTGATTGAGGCTAGAATGGCCAGTCCCTCTATCATTACCCCCGAGCTACTCGGTGTCACCGTCGAAATGTTGTAAACGTTTTCAGGGTGACATTTTGTGTCATTGTGGGTGTCCACAGAAATATAGTCTTGGACTATGTTCCGAATGCCGTATAAATGTGAATGAATAAAATCAGCCGATTCGATAGCGGCTTGAAGATACATTGGATCGGATGTTGCTTCTGCCAGGAGAGCAGATACCCTTGCAGATGGTTATCTTGTTAATCGTGAGCCGTGGACATGGAGAACGCTTACACAAGAAAATAACTGCTAAGTGTCTGAGCATTTTGATTTAGCTAAAACATCTTGGACACACCCGGTAGCAACGCCAGCGATCGACGGTTCCATCGGTTCGGTATCCTTCGCCCATCAATTATGCCATTAATTTAAATTGATGCACGCTACCTACCCAGAATGTGCCCCCGACCGTCGTCGCTAGCACAGTGCGTGAGCCAATATGTCGATAGAGCTCATTCCCACTCACTATTTCCATTCGCTAACACCATGTCTCAGCCAATATTTCGATAACGGGTTGACCACACTCACCAGTGGCATTGGGGCAGGTCTTTAAGACAGAAAATGTCTTCCCAGAAATCTTCCCAGACGAGACATCCGTGTCGGACAGCGTGCGTGCTCTTCCATTCCACCATGACTCGACGGCATATGGAAGAAACACCGGGTTCTTGTATGCTGCATATGCCTTCGCCGCAGCGTGCCCGAACGATCTAGCCACATACCATCTGGCTGAGCCGGGCACGCCAATATGTGGGGATGACTTACAGTCCGTAATTCGTCTGTGGAGCATTCACGGCTTCTTTAACGTTTCAAATAAATTGGATGGATAACTAACGCTAGAAGAATTCAGTCTGAGTGCAGCGCCCACGTTCCTCGGGACCGAACTCACTATGTGTCTGAAAGGTTTGTTCGGCCCGAGCTCCTCTGCAGAAAGTCGAAGTACTGCACGAGCACATTCTCATACTTTGTCTGATTCGTAGCGATATCGAACTCGGCCATTTGCGAGAACAGGTTTCCCGTCGTTCCCCAGGGCTCACCTTAGAACGATATTCTTAGGGCTCCCGCAGATGTGATGAAGAGCCGAAGTCTCACCGTCGAATTGACCATCCGCACCCAGCCTGTCAATGGCGTTGTCCAGGGCTGCAGCCACAAGGCTGACCCGATCTTCGGTGGATGTCGTGATATTCGGCTTCTGTACACCAAGCTCAGAGTTTTGCGATGTTTAAAAAATGTCGAGAGCTCACCCGCCAGAGGGGGGATTGAGCTTGCGCGGCCACACGCAGGGTCGGGAGGAATAGAATGCCAACAACAGGGAGAGCCAAGAACATTAGGGGGTCGAAACGATGGGATGCGTAGAGATATGGTGTTCCTTCTCTTTATATCGATAGGTTTTCATCTCAAATCCTGTGCAGCTTAAATTACCAGCCCCAATGGAAACTCCCACATTCTAAAGAAAGAGAGCATATTCGAAGGCGCTAGAATGAATCAGAAATTTAAAAACAGCACATTAAGGACACTGACTATGAATACATGGGGAAGCCAACACGTATGTACTCCATAGACCCTCAGCATCGCTCGACAATGGGGCGAGGCTGAAGGGAGGTCCTTGAATGGAGCTGTGCGTGCGCCGAGATCCAGGAAAAACTCGATATCAAAGGCAGTGTGCAGGAGCCGGTGCGAGCATAACCTAAGATGTAAAACAGGTGACGGATGGCCGCCCTATCGTGGCCCGGCATCACCGAGAAACGACAGAGCGTTGAAGAAGGCTCACGCCAAATGAAGTGCTTGTGATCCCGGCATGGCGTAAGAAAGGAGGCTCCGACTGCTTGCAGGCTTTCAGCGGGATGATCCCGGTGCATTGAACGGGGTGCCTGCGGACGTACGTGTATCTTCTGTAAAGCTTCCACTTGACGCCAAGCCAGATTAAGAGAATACGAAGACTGAGAACATTGCTGCATCCGAAACGTCCATCAGAGGCGGCGATTCGAAGGTGCCCACGGACGTCGATGGTTTTGCCCGGTGCACAGCTTCAAGCGCTATGTGCTATCAGCGAGAGCCCAAGAAGGAAAGGATGGTCAGGCTCTGTGTGATGATTCCACTTACCGAAGAGCAGAGGTAAATTGTGGATACCAAACACTAGGTCCGATTCAAACTTCCTTCATAAAGTTGGAAGTTTAGGATTCCTGAAAGGGATCAGAACACGGGTTTAAATGTTGCAAATTCGGAATCACTTGATCGACAACCGATCTTGTCTGATTTAGACTCGGGTGCGTAGACCGACTCTCGTCGCGTGTGGGCGGCACATTCGTCCCCAGAACTTATGCACAGGCGGCCCGCCCATCACGCGGACGTCGACGTCTTTATGCGCGCGTTCCGCAAGCTCCTCCCTGTTATCGGAATTCGTAGAAACCACAGATTAAAGCCGCCATGCGCTGTCAGGTTAGCGTGACCCAAAGACGAAATCGAAAGTAGGAACTGGTAAGGAATCGTCGAAAGCCTATCAGGAGAGGATGCGTCCAGTTTGGCGCGGGTCACAAAAGCAGAGACCTCTTCGTGAATCGACGTCCTTCTTGCATGAGCTTGCGTCCCCGCTGCTCGGCTTTCAGTTACCTTGGCTTCCAGTGGACTTGCCTCGCCGGGTGATCATGGTACAATGTGATCCGGAACCACGTCGAATAGATCATCGATGCAGGTCAGGAGTGGAATTCTGGCGCACCTGTAGGCTGTACACGTCAGTATCCATGCTGCTTTAGAGCTTCCCACTTAGCGTAGCAAGTGAGAAGTTCCGTGAACATCTCACCAGGCACTACGACATCCGAAACTCTGTCAATCGGAGGCGGTGATAAGACGGTGCTCCTGGAGGCCGATGGCTTTGTCCACCCTTCAGGCGCTATGTGCTATCAGCGAGAGCCGAAGATAGAGGCATAGCACTCATGGACGGAACCATGCAGAAAGCTGGAAGGTATTGGATTCAGTGAGCACCAGTGCATCTTTTGAACAGACGCTACAAGGGATGAAGCTCGTACCTTGCATCTTGTTGCATCCTGAATGAGCGCCTGGATCACAGAATTTATCGACGTTCCTCGGTTCTCGGCTTGGTATCATCGTTGACATGCAGCACAGAGCAAGAATCAATCGTCTGAGGTGGATAGATGTAGCGTAAAGTAGATGCTCAGAGCGAAGAAATGAGCGTTTATGTTTTCTTTAGATTGATTCCAGCGGGGGTGAGCATGGACAGCGACATTCGTGTGAGTTTGCCCTGGATGCTGCTCGGGACGCCATGTGTTCTGTAAGGATGGGATAGATTTCCAAGAACTAAGAGCCGCAGAGAGCCGCACGAGGCGTACAAGCGAACACGGGAC